ACATTATTTGTTATTTTATGAATTTACTATGTCCTGCAGCCATATCAACTACACACAAATAATAATGATAATAATATTGGCAAAAACACACATACAAAAATGTCTCCTCGTCGATGTCGCTTTTCTTGTTGACCATAATATAAATATTTTACCGAAATTGCTAAGTTTAAGAAATATAATGACTTCCAGATTGAATTGAAGTTGCTAGTATGTGGAATGTTCAATCAACTATTGCTCCAGTTAAAATTTGGGGCATTGCGACCCAATACCATCCGAATTAAATTCCTACATTGAGAAAATCGGATTAAAGCATATTATCCCGTCGCTTAAGAAGTCTTCATTGCTTGCCACTTTAAATATTCTGCGAAAGGTCGTACAACTATTATTCAGTCTGTGGTCGGACGACTTGCTGGAACACACCCTTAATGCAAAAACCGCACGAAAGAAGTAAGTATAATACGACTACTACTACTACTACTACTACTACTACTACTACTAATAATAATAATTCCTGGAAGTCCATGCCTCAAGGAGATACAAAAAATTGTTCTGACAAGTACAGCCCACACCTTACGAAGGGCTTTATCGATGTAATTTAATTTTTTTTTTTTTGTCAGTGGAAAGTGCCATGACGCCATTTCTAACCTTAGGTCCTGGGCGGGACCCGGAAAGAAAAATGTAAACGCCAGAAATCAAAGAAAAAATAATAATAATAATAATAATAATAATAATAAGAAGAAGAAGAAGAAGAAGAAGAAGAAACAAAATGATTGACGTAACTGTTTCAATATTTTTCAACTCTTACAGAAGATTTCCTTTTAAGAAAAGAACAGAAATAAAACATATGTCGAAATATTTACATTATTTACATTGTTCGAACTGTTGTCTTCATCTTTCTTGCCCTATTCACGACGTCCCTGCCGTTGTACGCACTGGCCTTCTTCAGGTGAATGGAATTTCGAATTTCGGAACCATTTATTTCATTCAACAGGTTAGATTGTTCTACTACCACGTGCTGTGCCTCTTCCGGGTGTCTCTAGCCTTTTAACTCCACTCGCTCAGTTTTTGATCTGTAACCAGATCAGTAGCCAGATATTGAACTCACAACTCTTTCGGTCAAGTCACTGGATCCAACTAACGCTTTTGTCCACTGGGCCATGTGTCCTCGAGAACAAAAACTTGGAGATTTAAGTTAAAGGGAGAGAACTAAGACATCTGGGAGAGGCATGACAAATGAAATTAGAACAATGTATCCCGGTGAACGAAATAAAGAGTTCAGTTGGAAATTCCAATCACTTGACGAAGGCTGGAGCGTACAACAACCAAAACGTCGTGAATATGGCAATAAAGACGAGAACAACATTCCGAACAATGAAAATAATTAGGATACCTTGATAAAAATATTACCAGTAATATATTTTTGGAAAAAATATTACCAATAATGCATTTTTTGAAAGAAATATTACCAACAATAAAAATCTTGTCGGTATTAAATAACACATTGAGGTTGATATACCGTAAAACATACCAATCAACTTCTTACTTTTACATTAAATTTAAGCGAAAGAAATATTTAACGTGTTATATTTTCTTCTATTGTTCAGGTGTCTTCGGATTTCATTTTTCAAGAACATGTTTTTTTTTTTTTATCTTTACAAGTAAAGAATCTCTTTAAATACACTTTGCAGTCATCTAGGAGAACTGAAATCTTTTACATGAAGAGAATTTTGAAAATAATCTGTTTTCGGGAGATATAGCATTGAACGAATTAAGTGGATTATGTGGAACTTGGCAGCAAATATATATTTTTCCCGTAGTTATCAAAATAATATGCGGTTCAGTGATATTTCCCTAATGAGAAACTAAACACACTTTCTTTTAACGAATATATGAAAAAGAGAACGAGGCGAGAAGTCGCCCAGTATTTATAGTATAGGGAGAATGACCCCTAGTGACAATTTGGGAATTAAGGAGGAGCTAACTCCGACAATCGCACAAGCGTGAATCTTATATGGCACTTAACTGAATGCAAATCCAATGCCAGTCACAAGGAAAAACTATATATATATATATATATATATATATATATATATATATATATATATATATATATCATATATGGTATATATATATATATATATATATATATATATATATATATATGTATTAAAAAAATACAGACAGCCTTCAATTGATCTTTTTAGTACTTAATGTGAAGTTAAGGATTTGTGTTGTGTCGACATGGATATCGGCTCGGAGTGAGAACTCGGAGAGACGAGTTCGATTTCCAGTCACGCGCAAATACCTTTCTCCTTCCAGCCCCCATCTATGTGTTTAACATTGGTTGGTAACCAGTCTATCGTGGAAAGATATGACAACATACTGCGAGAAAAAAAATCTGCTTCGTCAGTCATGTATCGAAAGATAGATGATCGTGTAGATGAGCGTGTGTGTTAATGTGAGATTGTATTAGAAACACGTGTGTAACGCCTGGTAGACTATTAAAAGGTCCAACTACAAGAAAATGGCTGGACTTGAATTAAGTCCAACTGAAGATAAAAATGACAAACAAGACCGTTATATATATATATATATATATATATATATATATATATATATATATATATATATATATACCACTTTAGGTTAAATAAAAAAACTAGGATCATCACTTTAGTTCCAAAGGTTGAAAAGAAAATGAAAAGAATTCAACCTTTGGAAGTAAAAGTCTGATGATCCGCAGTCCTTTTAAAAGGGGGCCGTGGTGAAATAATTTATTTGGAATTAAAGTTGTCTGTTTTATTAAATTATTTGCTCTGGATGTACATTGAGCTCTCTGGATTTTATCCTATTTAGGTTTACACATACGGATTACCTAGTTTTCATAAACTATATATATATATATATATATATGTATGTATTATTAAAAAACAATTTTACAATGAACATAAACAATAATATTTATGTGTGTGTGAATGTTTATGTCTGTTCTTTGGTGAATGTTCGTATTTTGATGAAAGTTCGTACTTACGTACGTGTATGTGTGTATAATGTTCATGGCGTCTCCCACAAATGGGAAGACGCGGATCGTCTAAGAGAGCTAACACTGTAGTGGCTGAAATGACGAAATGAAAAAGAGAACGAGGCGAGAAGTCGCCCAGTATTTATAGTATAGGGAGAATGACCCATAGTGACAATTTAGGAATTAAGGAGGAGGTAACTCCGACAATCGCACAAGCGTGGATCATATATGGCACTTAACTGGCTGCAAATTCCAATCCGCACCAGTCACAAGGAAAAAGGTGAAATGGATTAAAGGTGGATATGTCAGTGAATAAAATACCCTTAGGAAAGATATGAACCCATGTCATCTCCCCCTAGCTATGGGTTAAATAGCAGGACAGACTGGGTTCTTTAGCCTTTGATGGAAACTGGTGTACCTCAGAAAGAAATGGCAACCTACTGCGAGAAGAAATCTGTCACGTCAGTCATGTATTGAAAGATACATGATCGCTCAATTGTGAATCACGTGTGGCCCTTAACTGACTGAAAATCCTAATTCACACCAGTCACAAGGAAAAAGGTGAAATGGATTAAAGGTGGATATGTCTGTTAATAAAATACCCTTAGGAAAGATATGAATCCATGTCATCTCCCCCTAGCTATGGGTTAAATAGCAGGACAGACTGGAATTTTTAGGCTTGATTGGCAACCAGTCTACCGCGGTAAGAAATGGCAACCTAATGCGGGAAACAACTGCCTCGTCAGTCATGTATCGAAAGTTACATGATCGCCCGAGCGTGCGTATCACGTATGAAACTTAACTGACTGAAATCTTATTCCGAAAAGGAAGTTTTTGTTGAAGAATCAACCACAGTTGCAAAAATAGAGTTTTGCTGCAAAAAACCTTTTGCTCTGACACACACACACACACACACACACACACACATACATATATATATATATATATATATATATATATATATATATATATATATATATAAAATGAACATATAGAAGTCAACACTTAGAGGCGAAAGTGAACATAGAAGTCAACACTTAGAGGCGACAGTCTGTTTCATGCTATATGCAATCGTCAGGCCACATATGCTGTTATTTTTCTCGGCTATTTATATATATACGGGTTAGTGGTGCATTGTGGGTATTCTATTATGGCGGTTATTTTACCGGAAGTCGTTTGTTTATTTATTTGGGTCATTTATATTGCTCGTTTTTATTTTTTGTTTCTTATTTTATTTATTTATTTATTAACGTAGTAAAAATTGTTTATATCACTTATTTAACAGTTTTGTTTTGGTTTGAGAATTTAATTAAAGCTATTTGTTTATTTATTTTGCTGTCGCCTCTAAGTGTTGACTTCTATGTTCACTTTTATATTTACACGCGCTCTATCTCTGATATTGAGCACTTTATTCCATAAATATAGCACACCTTAAGACTATATTTCTTTATATATATATATATATATATATATATATAGATACACCTAGTGAGCCAGACAAACCTACCTAGGTTTCACCTAAACGGATCGTCAGGGAAATCTAGGTTTGCTCTACGATTGTATTGAGCTCTTTTGTTAGTTAGTTGTTACTCGTATCGGGGTTTTTTCTTTGGGCTTCAGACCTGCATCTGTGCGATTTTTTGTCGGCAGAAGTTTATGTTTGTAGCTCTTTCTTTTTTTAAAACCTTTTTTTCCCTCGAAATTGATTTGATTAACAAATCAAAAATTCGAGGGTTTTTCGAAACGAGTCTAGTTATGTATATATATATATATATATATATATATCCCACATACACACACATATATATATCTATGAAGAGATAGATAGATAGATAGAGAGAGAGAGAGAGAGAGAGAGAGAGAGAGAAAGAGAGGATCAGGATCATTTTCCAACTTATTCAACACGATCTTTGCCCTTTCTGCCCTTTTTACTTCTTACTAGAATAACAATGTGCCTCACAGGTTTCACGTACGATTTCATTTTCAAGTCTTTTTTAACTGTTCTTTGGACTGTCGTAGCTGAAACTCCTCGATCACGTGCCAACCGACTTATGAATTGAGTTGGATCTTTTCTAATTGATCTTTTTAGCTCTAAGTTTAAATGCTGAACCCTTTTCCTGTTTTGACCTCCGGACCCAGATTTCGTCTCTACTGTTCCCTCTTTTTTAAAACTTATTCACCGTTCTCTTGATGGTTCTTGAATGGACTTTGAAAATGGAAGTCAGAGTGTGAATGTTGGTACCATTACTGAAGGCCTGAATGATCTTTTTCCTCTCACCATTGCTCAATTGGGAAGACAATGGGGTTGACACGAAATAATTTTAACCTGATCTCTTTCTAACTGAATAACTCAAAGGGTCTTGCAGTGATTTTTTACGAGAAATGATATCAAGATGGCTAAACGTCTTATCCGAAAACCTGCAAAAAAGAAACTCAATTAGTGTAGGGGGTTTTAAGATATTAAACATTTTGTGGGATGGACAATTATGTTGTTACACGATTTCGACAATTTTTGCTGTTACACCAGCTATATATATATATATATATATATATATATATATATATATATATATATATATATATATATTTTATAAATTAATTGATTTAAAATATGGTTATTTTCGCGCTACACAGTTCCAACCATGTTTCAAAAAATAGAAGCTAAAACCCCTAATTTTATTTTTGCAAATAAATTAAAAGCATTAGTTCTATTTCATCTTCAAGCGAATTTTGGAGTAACTTTTAAAATTTACGGGTTTTTAAATACACAGCTAAAATCACGTTTCCATGGTTACAGAATATTCTACTCAAATTGAACACGGGGTGTCTAGATTTTCCTTATGACAGTATCATTGTATCAGTTATTAGCTACATTTTGGTAAGGTGAGGATGTATTTTACACTGAAACCTGACGTCGGTTGAATGGATGTCGTCTGAATTTAAAAAAAAAAAAAAAATTGTTAACGGTAAAAATTTTCAACGTCATCTTTTTAAAATTAAAGATTTTTTTACAATACTTTTTATTTAACTACGATTTGAAATATTTTCCTTTTTAATTTTTATTTTACTATATTCTTTTTAAGAACAGTTAAATGTATTAGAATCCATTATATTATGTAGGATTATTTTAACATTAAGTTTAAGTATGTATATGAGGTTTTTTTTTTTTTTTTTTTTTTTTTTTGTATATGACTATGACAGCAGAAATGGTTACTTAATTTCACTGATTCAGTAAACTTTTCTTTTATATATAAACCTATTATTATAATATTTCACATGTAAGTACTGAGGACATGGGTCATTCAAAAGCTTACATGTTATGGTATTTCATATTAATTTTATTTTACTATAGGTGTTATTTTTGGATTCTTTTTAATGCGTGTAGTATTATTTAAAAGAAATTTAGGTTAGAATTCATTCAATTTAACTACAATTTTAATTACAAATTCAAAATTACAACTTTAAAATTTTAAAATATTTTCATTGTTTAGTTTTAATAGACTATATTACTTTATAACAGAAGGAAAATTACTCATATTAAGTAAGATTATTTTTCCATATCAAAGTATATGTAAATTTTTTTTTTTTTTTTTTTTTCTTCTTTTTAAATTTAAATATTAAGCACTATTTTGTAAAAATAAAATATCTATAAGAACACCGGATTTTATATCTTACTGTTCTTTTTTTATTTATATATATATATATATATATATATATATATATATATATATATATATATATATATATATATATATATATATATCTGGTATAGCTGAACAAATTCCAACTCACCACAGGAACAAATTTCAACTGACATAGTATCAGTGGAAACTTCAACTTTTTTCTTTTATTTATATTTTTTATGTGAATTTTTTCTACTGTAACATCTTCCCTATATATAATTTTTTTTTCTATATGTGAAATTGTTTTCGAGATGTGGAATTTTCTTTCTATATTTAAATATTTCTCTCCCTGTTAAATGTTTTCTATATGTAGAATTTCCTTCTATACTTAAATATTTCTCTCCCTGTTAAATGTTTTCTATATATGGAATTTCCTTCTATATTTAATTGTTTTTATAATACGACGATTTTTTTTTATAAATCTCTATCTATAAAAGGCAGGATGTGTTTGTGTGTGTGTGTGTGTGTGTGTGTGTGTGTGTGTGTGTGTGTGTGTGTGTGTGTGTGTGTGTAACGAATGCACGGCCACAGTTTTCGACGGATTTGCACCAAAATTTACATGCACATGCTCCAAGTAAGTGGGAAGGCCAAGACTGACTTTGCATTTCCCAACTCCGATAGTGGAAATAATCGACTTTTTCATGCTTCAACGGCAATTTTCATGTAGTTTGCGGCCATTTTGTACTTGCCAGAGTGAGAGCCAATAGCTGGCTGCCACGAATAGGCAGGAAGATTCTATTGGCCAGCGTGAGAGCCAACAGCTGACTGACACGAATATTAACTAGCATGCTAGCATGCAAAAAAAATGGATTCTTCCCAAGTGGGAAAAATTTAAATCTGCATGGCACTTTACTCCAATTGGCTCATTCGCCTGCTTAAACTCAACGTTGATTCTGATTCCGCAGAACTGGGTTGGGTGTGAAAAAGTATTTGTTGTTAACATTCTTTTTTCATTCGGTTTTTCCAGTTACGAGTCCTTTTTTTAAAGCTGATCGTTTTGTGTTCATTTTGTTTAGTTCTTTATTCGTAAAAGATTTAATGTTTAATATAGAGCTTAGAAAAAATTCACAGTGTGAGATAGGCAAGAAGTAAGGCATGTAGCAACATCAGCACGACAAAGGATACTCCTTTAAAGGCAAGGAAGGGCAAAAATATTTTAAGTCAAGTGATAGCGATTGATGAGTCGTACGATTTTTGAATCAAGCACGGGCAATGCCGGGTCATGCTGCTAGTTGAATTTAAATTTAATCCTTTACAGAATTTTTAAATAATTAATATAAGTATAACATAATTTAAATTATAAACTGAGTATTTGAAAATTTATTAATATTAAATTGGTATAAAGGGATTAGTTATATTTAAAAGAAATTAATATATTACTAATTTACTATAACTTTTATTCTATGGTTAAAGATCTATTATTGAATGGATTAATATGATTTTTTTTTTTATATAAGTATTAATTTTAAATTCCTCCGCCCATTTTATAATGATGTTAAGCGCTTTTCTAAAATATTTCATAGACATTTTTTGTTCATTCTTTTTTCCTTGTACAGGTGTTGATAGGTTGCATTTATGTCAGTGTCCATTTTCGACCGTCACGTTTATCTGTACCCGACTACACCACAACCACATTAGGTCCCTTAAACCTGATTATCTATGTAAGTCCTTTCTCTATTATAGGCCAATTATTACGCCCTCTCTTTTTATTCTTTCCTTTTTCTTTTTTCTTTTTTTCCTTCTTTCCTTCGTTTGCCTTTCAAATATCCTGTGAAGAAATGTTTTATTTCTTTAAGCAAATGTATTTGCATTCATAAGTCCTGCGAAAAATTACTTACCCATGGACGAAATGACCATCTGTATGAGGTAAATCGTTTGAATTTCATTAATTGTAATTCACACACACACACACACACACACACACACACACACACACACACACACACACACACACACAGGTGTCCATAAAGTTCGTGTGCACTTTACAAAATTCATAACTTTACTTGTATTTGCGATAGAAATAATTTGTAAAAAGGATACGAAAGAAGTAAATCTATATTTTTTTTAAGGTTTTATTGAAATATTATTTTTAGTTTCCACCTGTCCTCCATCATTAGCAATACAAAGGGTAATACGATTTTGCAGTTCACGGAAAAAAAATTGCCAGCTGATTTACACTAATGCCTGAAATCACATTAGTTATTTTAGCTATACTTGAAACTAGGTACATTAAACTTTATAACATTTTTTACAGATTATTTCTATCGGTAATACAAATAAATTATAATTTTTTATAATGCACACAAACTTTATGGACACCTATATATATATATATATATATATATATATATATATATATGTATGTATATACAAGTATATGATTGGTTTATTCAACATCATCACTTGATAAGACACCAGAGGTGTTGAAACAAAATGGCTATTTTTGAAGTGATTTTATAACACATTTTTGTTATAATTTTTTAAATAAATATATATATATATATATATATATATATATATATATATACACACATATATATATATATATAAAATTATTTATTTAATATATATATATATATATATATATATATATTACAAAGAATAATCGCACATAGAATTAATCAGAAGTATCAATGCGATTATTGGCGACATCCATCGCTAGAAAACATAATATATGCATTAAAATCCTGTTCATCCATAGTGTGAGTTTGATCATCGTCGATAAACTTGTCTGTAGATTTCAGTTTATTTGATGTTAAAATGCTAGTACTTACGAATAGTCTTCTATTCATCATCAGGCATGTGTTTTTTTCCTTATAAAATCGAAAACTTGAGACGATATACCTGTATGTCGACCGAAAGATGTTTTTTGAATATCTGCTATTATTGACGGTTGTGTAAGATCTCGGATATATATATATATATGTATGTATGTATATTGTTCGGTCGAGCTAGCTCGGACATTCGTACATTTACGTGTCTATCACACTGACGAAGACGATCCAGGATCAAGGTTGGAAGGTCATTAGGTGGCATTCTGTGATTGCTAGGTGACTAACCCGTCTTGCTCCATGGTCAAGTGTCCAGAGCAATACATCAGTCACGAGTTCTTGTTTTGCTCGCCAGCATTGTTCGATTAAGATTGTAGAAGTATCATGAATAACTCCATAGATATAAGAATTAGTTGGATGTTGTCTCCAAAAGTTGTTATGTACAACTTTTACCATCCGAGTATGGGTTCCATCAAGTTTAGACTCAAGGATTTTATTTAATGTCCAAGCAGTGGCATCATACATTAAAACGGCTTCTACAGTGACAGGAAAAAAGAATCTGCTTTTGATGCTGACTGGGATTTTTGATATATATATATATATATATATATATATATATATATATATATATATTAACTGATTGAAAATATGTTTTTTCGCTACACATTAATAACCATGTTTCAAAAATGAAAGCTAAAAACTTTAAATTTAATTACATAAATAAATTAAAAGAATTAGTTCCGTTTCATTGTCAAGCGAATATTGAATAACTTAAAAAAAGAAAAATAAGTTATTCTATTTTTGAAACATGGTTATTAATGTGTCGCGAAAAACATATTTTCAGTCAGTTAATTTATAATATTTATGCTCTGTTAATTTACACTGAGCACTGTTTTTAAAATAAAAATAAAAAATATCAATAAGAACACCGGATTATATATCTTACTTTTCTTTATATATATATATATATATATATATATATATATATATATATATATATATATATATATATATATATATATATATATATATATATGTGTGTGTGTATATATATATATATATATGATTACGATAAACGTGCAATCAATTTACAAATTCATGAATTATTCACACAAAAACAAATGCAAAGTTTAATGATTTAATTGGCGAGAAATCCATCGTCGCAAACAATTCAAATAATATACAAAAACCTCCGAATCCGTTATGAATGAAAAGATCCTTGTTTCTATAAATTTCTGCCGTATTAGTTCTTATTTTTACTACAAGCTTTCGTCTGTTCCTACAGACATCTTCAGGTATGGAATAGATGTTGTTCTTGTTTTTCTGGTAAACAGAGCATTTACTTAAATAGTTGTATCCATAAAAAGAATGTATAAGCATAAAAATGGCTTAAGATAATCTATATTCTTCCTTTCTTTTTTTTTTTACCCTGTGTTTCTCTCAGTTTCTGTCTTATCCCACAACCACGTTACACCCTTACGAAAGGAGAACACGGTTTATCTGAATTAGGCTAGCCTTCTGCTATCTATAAAAAAAAACAATTAGCTTAATAAACAACATTTACCGGCCTGAATGTCCGAGAAATCTTCACAGTAAATATTCGTCCTCCGACAGGATTCGAACCTGTATCCTATACGGAACCGTCATTTAGCCACAGAGGTGCGTTCGGTTAGCAGAGTCGAATTTACTGTATTTAAACTTAAATACTTCCATGAATCTCTCACGTACATTCATATCTGCTGATGGCGTATCAAATGTAAACAAATGACGTCACACATTATGAAATGGACAAAGTCCGACAATTATTTTAAGACATATCTTTATGTCTTAAAATAATATAAGGCTTAATATATATATATATATATATATATATATATATATATATATAAAATAAAAAGGCTTAAACACCAACATTCCATGGTCATAATTTATTCAATTCCTCAGATCTACAAATTCAAAAAGAATTCTGTTTTCTTTTTGAATTTGAATAAATTATGGCCATGGAATATTAGTGTTTAAGCCTTTTTATTATATCCTTACTCTGTCCTGGACATTGAGTTCTACCTGGATTCTATCCTCTTGGAATTATTTTTTATACAAATATATATGTATGTGTATGTATGTATCTATGTATGTATATATATTTATATATTTTAGATATATGATTGCATATGTATGTGTATATTTACCACTAATATTATCTATCTATCTATCTATCTATCTATCTATCTATAATCATTTTTTACCATATTTCAGTATTAGATATTTCTTATTTCAAATATTAACCTCAGAGTAAATTAAAAAAATAATTTTCTGTATCCGAAGCCGATAAAAAGCAGGATTATAGACTCTGCCATTAATTTGTACAAAATTATTTTATTTCATGGTATTTTTTATCTTGGCAAATCTTAAACAACGTGGAGAAGCAAGGAGTAACTACGAGTAAATTCTAGCATTCTTAATTTTTTTTGCTTTTGGTGACGATCAAGGAATGTAAACATTGTCCGTAGTGTTTATTGTTCGAAGCCATCCCAGTCACTTCTTTAGCAATTTTCAAGGGATTTGTGGTTAATTTCTTTTTACGATTGTCTTGTTAATGTATTATATGATGTATATTGTATTATAGCAGCGTTTATTCTTAATCCCATGAAATGAACATGGTTGGAATTCAAGATAAGCGTCCTTCTATTTAAAAAAAAAAAAATTTTAGCGGATTGTTTCCGTTGTTAAATAAAGTGAGATTAATTCTGGGTGCCAGATGTTTTATATAGAGTCCTTCTCTCACTTCTTTTCAGTTACGGGATTTATGAAGTTTGTTATACTTTATAAAATTTTATTTCTAAAGTTTGCACATCTCGCAAACTTAACTCTAAATCGAGGAAACCTTGTTGCCATTCTAGTACTGCGTTTAAATTCATAAAGTCAAGTCACCATAGCAAAGAGCTCATCCAAACAATTGCCATGAATGTATTTATAGAAAAGGTACAGAAAAGCAACTTTACGGTGGGAAAGTAACTGAAGACGAGACGCCAGATCAGGACGAATAATATCCCTGATTCATATCAAGAATCTCTAAATATATACCACGATCACTTGACCATATTTGACAGCAATATTATAAGCATAGTCGAATGGTAGTCTTATAGATATGTAAGATAGATTTTAGTTGAAGGTCTGAATCCTCCGTATTAAATATAATCAATTCCTTTAGTCCATTCTCTTAATGGTATAACTATTTAATACCATTTTTCCTGAGAATCAGTTATTTTCTATCAAGACCGACGTAGTGGCGTTTTATCAGGTTGCACCAAGGAAGCAAATAGGTGGAGATGGGAGCTCACGTTGGATCAGAATACTTCAAGCTTGCCTACAGCCCAAATTATCGCATTCTTAAAAAACGGATTTCCCTTTCCATCCACATGTTCCAGCTGCCACTGTGTGGCGGGGTTAATAGGCACACCAGCCCTGCCAAAATCGAGTGGAGGTGGTTCGTGCGTAGTGATATCTATAACCATTGGATGGCCACGCGCCGAGATACTTAGGAGTTTATATATATATATATATATATATATATATATATATATATATATATATATCAAAGTATATAATTGGTATACACGGAATGAATTCAACAACCAACAATTACTATTCTTAAAGAGTGCTCAATACAAAGTAGAGCAGATATAATTATTTTTATAAAAAAAATTATAACATAAGTATGTTATAAAATCACTACAAAAATAGCCATTTTGTTTCAACACACTCTGTGTCTTATCAAGTGATGATGTATATATATATATATATATATATATATATATATAAATATAAAATAAGAGAAGAGAGGTTCCGCAAACGTTTTTGAATGTAATATGGATTTCTTTAGAAAAAAATATTATGCTTTATTTTCCATAATTTTACTACACGTGTTTCTGGTCTCGCAACCGTCTTCAGGTAAAAGGCGGAGATTTCCACATATTATTAAAAATAATTAATTTTTTC